ACATCTGGAACACACAAACGACCTTGATAACGAAGCACACCACCTCTTCCTTAAGTAGAAAGCCTCAATAGTTTATCCAGAAACCATTTTCTTCAATTAAACCAAAATTAAGTCATTATTATGTTTTTCCTTAACATATGAAACAAAAGATGATTTTGAGTCATTTTACACAATAACACCACCATCCTCTGAATCAACCAAAAAAACTCCCAAATGGGTCAATCTATGCACATCTCGAACCAACTCTTTTTAATCATGCTCAATGTGAGTAACACTGTTAATGGACAATCTACTAAGAACATCGGCAACCATATTTGCCTTACCCAGATTGTAAAGGGCACTCATGTCATAGTCCTTCAATAATTCAAGTCACCTCCTTTGACAAATATTCAAATCCTTTGATTAAACACATACTGGAGACTCGTATGATCAGTGAACACATCCACATGAACACCATAGAGATAGTGTCTCCACATCTTCAAGGAAAAAACCACCGCCACCAACTCCAAATTATGAGTCGGGTAATTCTTCTCATGAACTTTAAGTTGCCTAGAAGTGTATGCTATCGCCTCACCAGTTTGCATCAAAACACAACCAAGACCAATTATAGAGGCATCATAATATACAACAAAACCATCTGAATGTACTGGTAAAGTCAAGATTAGGGTTGAGGTAAATCAAATCTTACATCTTGGAACATCCTATCACAAGCTTTGACCCATTGAAATTTCACTTTCATCTGAGTCAAAGTAGGCAAAAGGGAGGCAATTAAGGAAAACCCCTCTACAAACTGTCTATACTAAGCAGCTAAACATAACAAACTCTGAATATCTGAAAGGGAAAAAGGTCTATGATAGTTCTTAACTGCGACGATCTTCTTAGAGGCATAACAATAATAAAGACAATTCATACCAACAAAAACATTGAAATCGAGCATATCTAGCTCTACTAGATCAATTGAGGTGATTTCTGAAAAACTCATATCAGACAGTTTCGGAAAACCCGTTTAGCTAAGACTTAATCATTGACAGGAATAGAGTCTGAGAAGGGTTATAATAGGATTTCAAGACTGATATCAAACTTTATAGAAATATAAGAAATCATGAAACTCCTGGATTCAGCAAGGCATAAACATCAAACTGAAAGGCTTGAAACATACAAGTGACCAAGTCAAGGTAAACCTCCTTACCATGTCGACGAGTTTGAAGAGCATAAAACCTATTCTAACATTTTCCACCATAAGAATGAGATGAAATACCCTTCTGAGTCGAGCGACCTGAAGAAGGGTTAGGCTAAGCACGACGACGACTATCTCCACCTTTGCTAGAAATCGAAAGGTAATTCCTCAAGCTATGAACAATCTTACCACAAAAAAAAAACATGCACCAAAATCGGCTAAACAATCTCCCAAAGAGTTCTTCCCACACTTTTGACATGTGGGGAAAGTTTATTTACTAGAAGCATTACCTTAAGACTTAGTGCTAGATGGTGTATCTTTGTTGAACTTCAGAAACTGAGCACTAGTAGAAGATGGAGACGGGACTCGATGCCTCTATCTAAATGAGAATGACCATCACCACTGGATATCAGATGAGATTAGTCTTCAGTATCTGTTTGAGCCCTCTTAGTCTCTCTAGCACTCTCCTTAAGCTTCTCTTCCTTAATCTGTTGGGCATGAGTCATCAACCTTAAATTGTCCATATCCTTTATCAACATAGCAAATCTAGACTCTTTTAGCACCATTTCAGAAACACCAAAAACAAACTTGCTCATTCGAGCTCTAGAATTGATTATCATCACTAAAGCATATTTAGATAGTTAAGTGAACTTTAAGGAATATTCCTTCATGGTCATACTTACTACCTTGCCTCAAATTGATGAATTCTTGAACCTTGGCTTCTCTCATCTCAAAAGAATCAATCAAGAAAAACTCATTCGAATTTATCCCAATCCAAGGGATCCACATCAATAGCCCTTTTCCTTCCATTGTTTGAACCATATTTGAGCAACACCGTTCAATTGGTAAGTGCCTAAGTCCACACTGTCCGTCGGCATAATCTCGATAATCTTTTGAATCCTTTTAACAAACTTTTGTGTATTCTCGTCCATCTTAGAACCATAAAATTTCGAAGGATTCATCCTTGTGATGTCTAGAACTCAAGTCGTTGGTGTCCTCATATTTGAGTTTGACATGAGCTACAACCTAATGGCTGGCTTGATTGATGAGTTTTAGATTTTGACTCATTTAGGGCATGGTTTTCATAGTTTTATTATCCTCAAATGCCTAATTTATGCTCTAAATTGATGCTAACATGTTGATTTTCAACAATAAAGGCTAATGAGCAAGGCAAGGACATTACCGGGTAAAAAAGGAGCAAAAAAGCTGAAGAAGTTGAAGAAAGGCAAACATGGTGATCGCCAAGACCACTCGGTGAGCCGCTGAGTGGCTCTTTAGCTCGCTTAAAGTTCCAGCATGCCAGCCTTGGGGAATAACCTACTTGGCGATGGAAATGGACAGGTGGACCGCCGAACGGATCGGCGACCTCAATCCTAACCGCTTAAAGTCACAGAACCTTAAGGATAAAGAGCCAAGGCAAACCGGAGATGGAACGGAACAAAGGGCGCGTCACCGTTTTGGTCAGCGACGCTCGACTTACTTCGTCTAATGGCTCTGAAAGCCAAAATTTGAGAAACTATAAATTGATTTTCAAAAAGCAAAAAAGGCATAAAATCTTTTAGGAATTCTTTAGAGAAGTCTTATCAAGTTTTTCCTAAGTTTTTCATTGTAGAACTTAGAGCTTTTGAGACTTGACTTGAGGAATTTTCAATTGGGTTTTTGAATTAAGTTGATTCGAAGTATCGTAAAGATTTTAGAATCATTATCCAGTTCATGGATAACATAATTGGTAATTATTTCTTCATTTTTATGATGTGTGGCTAAAACCCCAATTCTTGGGGTGTGATAATGTGATTATTGGTTTTAATTAGCTTATGGGTATTGTTGTTTACTCCTTTAAATATTTAATTGAAGTGGGTTTAGTCGATTTTTGTCTATTAACCCATGAGTTGTAGTTGCAAATGCAATTTTAGCTTAGTGTTTTGGGCTTGCTCGAGAGAGAGGTTTTAAAACCAAGGTTATTGATTGATGATTGTAGTGTTTGGGTTGTTGTGCGTTCAGCTCGAGAGAATGAATCTTAACTCATTCCTACCTATCTAGCTCGAGAGAGTAGATAAATTAAGGTTTTGGGTTGTTTATAGTGTTAAGCTTGTCGAGGTTCGAGAGAACTCGATTGAATAGTAATAGTTGTTCGAGAGAAAACTATTGCATGTATAGTCTACCCTATCCATTGGGAATCAACAATTTGTTAATAAACTTCAATTATCCATGTAGTGAAATTAGCCTATAATCGATCACATCCCCGAGAATTCCTCTTCTACTTATATAATCCCATGTTTTAGTGATTATCGTAGTTGTTAATTGACAAACCAAATCCCCCCATCTGACATTCATTGTCAAACCTTTAACTTACTTTGTTTGATTTCGATAATGTCTACTTCTATAACCAATATAAATCACAACTTTTACTTCCTAATTGAATTATGTACTGTACCGCTCCATGTGGGTTCGATCCCAACTCTTTGTTGGGTTTTATATTAGATAACGATCGCTTACACCTAGTATTGGATAAGGTGTAGTTTGAGCATTTATCATGGTGTTATTGAATTCTCTTATTGAAGTTGGTTTGTGATTTGATTGTGTTGTAGTTGAACCCTTTTTACCTTTTTGTATGTTGTTTGTTGCCTTTGAGCAGGTGATGAAATGAGTGTCAATGGAAGCAATGCAGGCCAGCTGGGACAAAATGACGACATCGGTAACTTGAACGATGTGAATGAAGTACATGTGAATATGGTACATTTGGGTGGTGTAGGTGTTATCTGGTTGCCTCATATTGAAGGGAATGCGGTGTTCCACGTGACAAGCACGATGCTACAACTCTTGCAAATGAAAGGGTTATTTGGAGGCTTGGCTCATGAGGATCCCCATGACCATATTCAAAATTTTGTGGATGTTTGTGGTCCCTTCTCGTTCAAGAACATATCCTAAGAGTCTGTTTGACTCTGATTGTTCCTTTTTTTCTCTGATGGGAGATGCTACCAAGTGGTTAGCCGACTTACCTAGGGACTCCATTACTACTTGGGATGAATTGACCAAAGTGTTCTACACAAGGTTCTTTCCTCCTTCGAGGATGATGTCATTAAGAGATAATATCCAAGGTTTCAAACGCTTGGATGGTGAGCCAATCCACAAGACTTGACTACGGTTCCAGAAATTGCTACTTCAATGTCCGACTCACGGACTCCCAAACAACATCTTGCTATAACATTTCTACCGGAGTCTAGATTCGGTGAAAAAATGAGTGGTTGATCAACTTGTTCAAGGAAGACTTGAATGAGAAAATTAGTTAGAAAATAGCACAAGACTACAATCCTGGATTCCTTGTTCCTTAACAAGTTTTGTGAAAACTTTAGCGAGTTAGTTATCTTCTCAATTCGTTTAGATTATGTTGTTTAGTTATTATGTAAGATTTGTAAACTTGAATAATTCTTTCGTTGTGCATATTCTAATATTTGTCATTGTTCAAACACGGTGATTATAGCTACCTCTACTAGACATCTATCATTTGTAGGGAAATTACAGGTTATCAACTCTATTATCTTCTCCTTACATAAATAACTATTGAATCAGTGAAAATTCTACTGCAATGAACTTGAATGCCTTTAAAAAAGTGAGATATTTGCGACTGCCTAAAAATACTTCAATTTTTTCTTCATTTTAATTTTTAATAACAATTATATTATCACTTACACTTTTTCTTTGCTTAATTTAGAGAGGTCAAATTACAAGTTTCAACAAGAAAAATAATGTGTCTACTATCTAAAAATCAAACTAATTCTTGTGAATAAAATAGTTGTCTAATTAATATTTTGGACAAATTATATAAAGTATACTACAAATACATAACCTTGATATCAAAAGGGAACTTAGAACAATAGTCAATCATACACAAGTTAATACATTCCCAACAACATTTAGGCCCTTGACCTCTTAATAACATACATTTTAATATTACCTCACCTCCAAGTCACACTCAAAATAAATTACAAAAATCATTATATATATGAAACTAAATAAGAAAAGAAAGAAAAACCCCTCTTATCTTAAGTTCATCAAGAACCAATTTTCAATTCAACAATATTTAATTATGCTTGTTAGTCATAAGCATTTTCCCTGTCAAACCACAAGCCAAAGCTTCTCTAGGTATATTCTTGACAAGATGAACACCCTCAGCCAATATTACTCCCATTCCCATATGCAAATGAGGCTCAATGTGACAATGAAAAGCCCAAACTCCAGGATTATCAGTCACAAATCTTAGTGCTGTCCATCCATAGGGATAAATCACAACAGTATTTCTCAATGGTGGATTCTTTAAATTGAACTTCTTCACATGTTTTTCACTAAACTTCCCTTCACCATATCCCAAAACCCAAAAATCATGTCCATGTAAATGCCATGGATGAATTTCACTTGCACCTTTACCTAAGGCATTGGCATTTTGTAGTATAATGTCAATTGTATTATTCATCTTTAGCATATACACACCATTACCATATGTAGCATTAGAATTTGGTGCTTGTTTCATAACATCATAGTCTATAGGGAAATTATCCGGTGGAGGTCTAGTATCGAAAGCATTGTTTATTCCATATCGAATAGACCCTAAGTAGGGAGTCGTTGGTAAGACTAATGACACGTTATTAATAGCCCATTTTGTGTAACCATCGATTTTATTCTGAGTATTGAGTAAAATAATACGACGATTGTTTTTAATTGGTGGCTTAGGTGATCCCATTAGGGCAAGAATTTTGTTAGAAAATGACTTACTATGGTTATAATCATTCCAAAGGGGTGCAATAGGTGGTGGTAATGTTGGGACTTTGGATGCTGAGTTTGGGAGGTAGTTCAATAGAGTGAGGGCTTGAGGTGTTTTTGGTTCTCTTCCTCTTACACTTGTTGAAATCCAATAGTTTTTGGAAGGGTCTTGATCTGTGGTGAAAAGAATTGAATAGCTTTCACCTGAATAAATGTCTATGTCTTGTACTGAAAATGGTTGAACATAGTTTCCATCTGCCTCTACCACCACCATCTTGTGACCCTATATAAACATAAACATGATGAATACATGTGAGCATTGATGTAACATGTTTCGCTTATCAAAAGTCAGTATAACTAATTTTAATTTGAAACTATATTTGATTAGATCAACACAATATTTTAACATAAAATTTCTACATTCAAAAATTGATATAAATGATAATTCTTCTCGTATCAATACGATATAAAAATATAATTTAAATCTCGAAAATATTATACTTACCTTTTGTGTTAGTAAAATACCTAGCTAGTGCTTGCCACTATGATACCAACTTCTATATGTTATGCGCACACGAATTCCCACCAAATGAACTTTCCTTGTACTAATTAAATTCAATTTTCTAAGTGGCATACATATATATCGAAAAAAATCATAACTAATTTTTTGTTTAAAAAAAATCAATGTCCAATTACCACAAGGTTCTTGAATATTGTTAGTATATATTCCTTTATAGTATTGCATTCCACAAATATGAAGAGACTATTAGTATCAAAATATAAATAATTTCTCAAGAGTCTTCTACTTTTATATATCATCTTCTCTTTGTTATTTGTGATTCACTTCCATCTCAAAAATAAATCATATTGAGATTTGTAATCTAGTTATTTTAAGACTTAATATGTGGAATTATACTGGACGTACTGTTAATTATTATATTTATGATTTAGTTGAACCGATAAAAGAAATTCAGCTCACCTGCACAACTATACAATACTATGCTAATGTAAATCCTACCTACATACGTACCTAGGAACCATATGAAACGAAGAATTTAAATTAAAAGTTTTCGAAAACCTAGGTCACCCTACACCCTACCTCCAAGAAACCTCCTAAGGAAGGAAAATGTATAGAATATACAAGTAGAACTCATTTCACTACCATCCAATAGCACAACTGTAATATTAGTACTTTTTATCTTTTTGGAAAATGTGAATTAGAATATAATGTACAAAAGAGATAGATTTTGTGTATAACTTTACCCCAATTGCCAAGTTGAGTGAAGCCAATGCAGTGGTACTGGCTAACCTAAGCCTGTATGTCTTGTTGGGACGCACGCGGAGAATCTGAGGTGCGTACTGCTCACCCCCTCTTAACTTGCACTGTGGAAGCCGTGGGTTGCTAAATTGCGCCGCCATTGAACAATTGTATTGACCTCTCCCATTTATCAACAATGTCTGATTTTTCAATTTCAATACCATGAGAAATGTAGAAATTAATAAAAAATGAAGTTATAATCTATGTTGCTCGGACTTTTAAAAATTATCATCGAGTACATGTCAAATTCTTTAAAAGTAGTTATTTTTTAAGGATCTGACACAAATATGACTACATTTTTGAAGAGGCTCAACAACTTAGGTTATTATCATACTTGTGAAGTTAACATTTCAAAAATATAAAAATAAAATGGTATTAATACAACCAAAAAAAGAATAAAAATAAGATAATTGATCAACTTTAGTGCTAATTTATTAATGATTAAGTGATAAATTAAAGTACTAATGCTTATGAATTAATTGATAGTAACAAGTTGTTAACATAATATAGGCTTCACAAGTATTGCACTATGGAATAGAAATGATTTTTATTCTTTTGTCAACGAAAAAAGTTATAATTAAGTGAATAGTAAATAGAGGGTGTCCTAATTCTATTATTTTATATATCAATCAGAAAAAGCAAATAGAGTTCCTTTACCTTACTTCTAATCAACAAATTATTTGATTATAATTTATTTGAAAGATGAAGAAAAATTAAGTTTGTTATGTAGGGAAAAAAACATATTTTGCATAAGCTACAATAGTCACTATATATATTTTTCATTGTTGTTTTAAATCGAAGAAACTTCTTTAAAATATTTATTTTTTTCAAATTATTTGTCTACTTGAAAAGAAAGGTCATATATTGTCGAAGTTTTATTAATAAATATAAGAATATTATTAGTAATAAAAAAAAAACCATCAAGGAGATTACTGTAGAACGTGGTCTTCAAAAAGTCAAGAATAATTAATTGAAGATTCTTGTCTATAGCATAAGGAAAAGAACAAAAAGATTTGAATTAATTAATAAATGAATAATTGTTAGCATGTTGCCTCATTTATCCCTAACTTAAGAGTCAAGTTAAGAGAGGGGGGGAAACGTTAATACTTTTATAATTATGTTATTTGTCTGAATATTTTTTAACTGTTATTTAATAAAATGTTATTGTTATAGAGACTTTATAATATAACATAACATAAAGAATTAATTTCAAAATAAGTTTATTCGTTACTATAAAAGTCTTCATGTCTAAAACTAGAAGAAAACTCAAACTTTAGTTAAAAATATTTGAAATGAAAAAGGATCATCATATCAAATTAAATTAATATAATACATAAAATGGAAATTAATTAAGAGAAAATGATTCATTTAAGAATGAAAGCTGAATTCTAAAGAACTTTCATTTTTTTCACTCTAAATTACTCGCACTATAAATTAAAAAGAGATGTATAAATAAAACTTATATAAAACTATATGAGATTTTAATTATTTAAGTTTGGTTATGAAAATTTTTCACTTTTCTTTGGAGTTGAACGAGAAAGAAAACACATTTAACCATAAAATTTTGGAATTCAACTTCCTCCTGAATTTCAAGAATTTGAAAAACAACATAAAAGTATTTTTTTCATCTAAATTACTCAAAACAAAATAATCAAAACAACTTCAATTTGTATTCTTAACTAAACATAAATTTTCAAATATATAGTTTTTACTTTAAAAATAATTTTTTTTTACATTTAAGTATGGACCAACGTCCACTTATGGATTATAATAGTACGAAAAAAGACATCATCATTCAAAGAAACATAACTTTTTCGAAGTGATTTCATGATCAAAGCGTGTATAAAAAGGAGAAAAAAACACGCACAAAAAGAGGTTGAGATTTGTCAAAAAGTACAAAAAGGAAAAAGAACATTAATTAAATGAATTCAAATGAAGATGGGGGCCTTAATTGAACACATAATTTTTTAAGTAAATAAATGTGTACTTATTTTTATAATAATTTGAGCTTTAAGAATTAAACGTGACAAAAAGAACATTAAAGATGGGAGATGGCTTTAATTTTACACCATATATATTTAATTGATTAAATTAAACCATTTGATAAATCTCTTTGTAGACTTCTTTAAATAATAAGATGGTAAATTTGAATATTAATACCCTACTAAAAAAATCATTATTTTTTCATTGAAATTTTTCACTGAAAAATATTCAGTACCTATTTTCATAGATATTCTGATTGAATCGATAAGAAAAAAAGAAAAAAGTATACTAATGTTCTCCACTATGCATTTTTTCAGTCATGAGCTGGTTCGAGATAAAAAAAAACTTTTATTTCTAGCAGTAATACCTGAGGTTCACCAATCCAACGAAGAGGATTGGAAGATAAGTCAACTTCTTGTTCATGTGAACCTTTGTGCCACCAATCACTTAACAATAAATTGAATTCTCCATCATAATGGAATGGTTCTCTTTCACCTTGTGCAACATCCACTATGAGTGAACCATATAGCCCTGCTGATCTTTGCATACCATAGTGTCCATGATAGAAATATGTCCCGGCCTGTTTTTGATATTTGTTATAATTAATTATTCGTTGGACGTTCTATTAAATCAATTTACTAAAAAGTTGGATACTGAATTCCTTCGAGTCATAATGACAATTAAATACGTGTAAATTTCACTTTATTGAAATACTCTGCTTCTATCGAAAAATATAGAACAATATCATGTTGTATGTTTTTTCTATATAAGATCATATCCAATATTATCACTAATAGGTTAACTATTTTCCTTTTCACTTTATTAAAAAATACTCTACTTTTATCAAAGAATATAGAACAATATCATATGGTATGTTTTTTTCTATATAAGATCATATCCAATATTATCACAAATAGGTTAACTATTTTCCCTTTCATATAATTTCACCAAGCCTTGAGTTTTTTTTTTTAATTTGCTAAAATTATTAATTGTTCTAACTTACTTTAGTAAGTAACATGTAACAATACTAAGGCATCTATGAGAAGGAAAGGCTAAGCACTAGCAATATTAAGGTGAAATCCCAATTTTATGTAACATATTTTTATATTTAGTAATAATTTAATTTTAAAGTGCTTATTTTACCTTTAATAAATTCTTTATATTCATACAAACATCTAAAACTTATTTTAGATTTAAAAAAATATTTTTTAAATTTTGTGTCAAATCAAACAACAGTAAATTAAGGAGGGTATATTTCTTAGTGGGTCCATGCTAATTGAAAATGGTTGAGTAGAAAAATGATGTCTAAAGATTTGCTAGCAATTATTAAAAGTATATAAATAAGTTAAACAAATTGGACAAATTATAAACAGGTGAAAGTAGCTATGATAATATTATTATTTTTCCAGCAAATGTTATATTCAATTATGCCCACTGATTTAAGTAACTTATAGTTTGAACTAATTAATCTTTTTTTTCTCGTCTTTTGAGTTTATTGATTACTATAAGACAACATTTTCCCACTCAGATCAAATCTGTCAATTTCTACATTTTCTAATGCAAGTTGTCAGAAATTAGATTAAAATAATAAAAAGGTACCATTTGAAAATAAGTACCAGTTACTAGCTAGTTAATAAGCTTAATTTTAAGATATTTGACTCTTTCATCTTTAATAAAGAGTCTCGAGTTTGAATTTTTTGGTACAAAATCGTCTTTGTTAGAGAGACCCTAATAGGAGGTAAAGTACTCCAAAACTCGAACTTAAGACCTCATTAAGGAACAAAAAGTCTCATTCATTACATCACAAATTAACTAATTAAATAAATTACAAAAGAGTAAAAGGAAGAATGTACCTTATCAACTTTAAACCTATAGACAAATGTCTCTCCAGCATTAATGGCACACTGAGATATTGCTGCAGTTCCATCAGCCCATGGTGTTCCAAACTATAATTTTAAAAAATGAAAGTGAAACAAAAGCCATACTCATTGCCTATAGGAAGAAGGGGCCTCAATGAGACCAATTTGAGAAGGAAAAAAAAATAAAGTAAATTATTTAGCATAATTCCATAAGTCGAGTAATGTACACAACTGAAAGCAGATAAACTATTTTCAGGAGATTCTAAATTCAGGCAAAACATATCAAAAATCAAATATACTGGCTAGTGACAACTTTCAACCTATTAGTTTCATAATTTAGCATATATAGTACTCCTATAAGATATATTTACTCAATTGATTCACTTATAAATGACTTATCGATTGATATAGCAAGTTACTTATACTGTCAGTGTATATAAGAGGTCAATTGGGGCATGGGAGACGAGAGGGAGATCACTAACCTGTCGAATCCCATGCCAATGAATGACAACACCTTCAGTATGAAGTTTATTAGTAAGTTCAACAACAATTATGTCCCCAGCTCGCCCCCTAATTGTTGGACCCGGAAATGCACCATTTATTCCCATCACAACACTTTCTTCACCATCTGTTGACCAATGAATATACCCAACTTCCCATTTAAAATGCCTTGTTTTTGCTAATGAATGTCCAACCAACATAAATGACACCAACAATAATAACAATAATCTTGAGGAAGACATATTGATTTGTATAATTAAAAAGAAAGAGAAGTTTTTTGTATATACAAAGCTCACACTAATGGAGCTTTATATAGTTAGTTTGTGAATAATGTTGTAAGTTGGAACATATATATATATAAAATAAATATTGGTAGCTAGATACACTATTTTAGTCTAAATGGGTGGGTGTGTTGAGAGGATTATATCTGTGTATGGGGACGGCGAATGTAGGATCGGTAGAACATGTTTGTCCACCACTAAAAAAAGAAGAAAAACATGCATTAAGTGAGCGGGGCAGGTAAATAATTCAACATGAATCATATAACGTGCACTTGTTAATTTTGAAAAAGATTATGTTTATATATTTTGAGAAACAAATATATATTTAACTGTACACCAGTGGCGTAGCCATCCTTATGTCAGGGTGTCTAATTGGACACTCTTCGTTGAAAAATTATATCGTATATATAAGTAAAATGATAAACAAAGTGGCTAAATAACATATTTTGGACACTCTTGACACAACAATATGATGTAGCCTAGTGACTTTAGGTACCTTGAAAGAGTAAAGACACACAAACTTAAAGTGTTCGTATGTTCAAATCTCACTAGTAGCAAAAAAATTTCACTTTTTAAGAAGAGCATGTTCACTTTAACACTTGGACACCCTTCGTGAAATTTTTGGCTCCGCTGCTGTACACCTAGAAGTGCACCTTGAGGCAATGGTTGAAAAAGTTATGCATACTAGATTCGAACTTGCAATCAAGCTATCAAAATCAACTATTAATCACACTTGTCCAATAATAGTTGTCCACTATATTATTTTAGGATGTCTAATAATAATTATTCACTATATTATTTTAGGATGTCCAATAATATTTGTCCATTTTATGAAATCAATGGATAATTTTACATTTAGTTCCTAATTTACTCTTATCATTAATTATAGTCATTTTCCTATTAAATTTTTCAAGACAATATATTTATTATACTCAAAGGGTAATATAGTAAAATTATCGTTTTATTTATAGTTTCTTAAGAAATGTGCAAAGTTAATAATGGACTAGTATTTGGACAGAGGAAGTGTTAGTTTAATTTATAACCCATATTTGACTTATATATTTATATTTTTGCTATTGTTCACACCATTATGATCAATTGGATATGATATTATCCCTCAATCGTCATTGAAAGTTTTACTAATGTCTACGTCAAGATTATAATGCTCCCGCGATCTTCAAATATCAGGTTCACCTTTGCTTGTTACACAAGACAATAATTATACACTTCGATAAATGATTTTACCATCACTTTTAATAAATTCTTTTTTACGTGATTATCCTATGAAAAAAATATAGACGACATATAAAAGATTAGTGTTGAATACATAATTAAGTGATAATAAAAATTTATGCTTTCTAGTAGCTCAAATTTTTATAATGATGGTCACACAATTTTACATGATAGTTAAGCAAGGACCTTGCTGGCTGCTGCAAGGTCATAATATTATTATTATTTATGTATTATGTATTTTGAAAAATATAATTACATTTTTGAAAAGGAGAAATTAAATGCTAAAGCATTTTACAAAATCTTGATGGTTTCTAGTGTACAATTAAAAAATCTCAAACTTTTTCACCATAATGAAGTATTATATTCGTCCATTATCAAAGATTACTAATTAAATTAAGGAATTATTAATAATATGACCCTCTTGGAATTCTAGCAAACCTTTTAAATTTTTTTCCTGGCAGACTTTTTTTTTTTTTTTTGTCTTTTAGGTTTCTGTTGGGGATGGGAGAAATATTGTTTATATGTTTTCTATAAAATGATTTTAAAAATGCTATAATATATATTACAATATTTTGGCATTATTTCCTGAATATCATAGAGTAAATAAAACTCTATCTCCTAAATACTAATAAATCCAATGTGTAATCCCTCCTCTTGTCCCCTTAAAAAGGGAAATTATAATTAATAATTCCTAAACTTAAGCAAATTTTAATTCTGCCCATTACGTTTATTAAAATTTAGTTAATTTATATAGTAAAATTTATCATATTCTATCTCTTACCTAAATTTTGTCAGTGTCTTACTGGTATTTATAAAGGGTATATTGCTAATTTAATGATACATAACAAAAAAATCACAATAAAATACTTTGAATATAACAGGTGTGCTTTTTAAATTACCAACAAATTTGGAATATAGCATAAATAATTGGTATATATTTTACATAATAATTCTTTTACATTACATACTTGCTAGAAATTCTAATTATATAATTGGTATAATAACAATGATATAATTCTTTAAAAATGAAGAATTTTACTTCGATGCATATATATTATTTCGATGATTTGGATTGAAATCAACGGAAGAGAATGGGAAAAAAAATCGTATAATGAAAATAAAGAGAAAAAAGAATGAAATTATAAGAATGATGGAGATCTTCAATTATAAAATTAATGTCTTTAATTGTGGACCAATGTTTATTTTCTTAAAACTTTGAAATATGCTATATTTATAAATAAATATGTTATTTCAAGAATAACAAAAGTAATGATAATAATCATCTTTAATAAAAGTCCTCTACCCTGTAAAATTATCATTCTTCTTTTCTCTCTTTTCTTTTCTTTTCTTTTTTTCCTTCTTTTTTCCCTTAATAATTATGGCTATCATGTAAGCTTCAATGTAACGCAGAAAAATAAATAATAAATACATTACACATTAATTATAAAATAAAACTTTAACTTATACCAACATATACATGAACCATCAACAGGGCGTATGAAGTAGGGGTCCACATGAATTCATGCCTCCCTCCCAAAATTATATATTCTAGTGTTATATTTTTCAATAAATATTTAAATATAAATGTCTAAACCCACACTTAAAAGATCATATAATGTAGTGATGATTGTGCGCACCTCTTTAAGCAATATTAGAAATTTAAATTTTATATCTATCTAATTTTATTTTTCTTTTCGTAATAATGCACCCATCATCTCCAAATCATAGATACACCTCCAACCATAACATCTTTTTTGGTGTAAAGAACAAATAATTCAGTATTCCCTCTTGTTATTTTCTATTTTCAGAAAAAGAACATCACATAATTAATCAAAAAATATATAATAAAAAGTATTAGAATCAATCATACCACTTGATCACTGAGAAAATTCCAGCTCACATGCACTATGCTAGTAGAGTATATAGCCAAAAGAAAAGCAACAAAAATAAAAAAGGTGACAAGAGGGAAACTTCATTCAAATCTTTATAAACCAAATGAAATATCTTTGATTTATTTTTTCTCATTTTCATATATATATATATATATATATATATTACCTTACAAGCATGAACTCCTAACTTGAATGTTAAATTACTATACTATCCCTGACTTAGGATGTGACTTTTTCGATGAGTTGTGACTTTTCTGATAAATTGTGACTTTTTTCAAAGGATTGTGATTTTTCGATGAGTTGTGACTTTTTCAATAAGTTGTGACTTTTCCAAAGGGTTGTGACTTCTCGAAAAGGTCATGACTTTTCATATAAGACACAAAAAACACTTGTTCATAACTTAGGTTGTGACTTTTTCAATGAGTTGTGACTTTTCTGAAAAGTTGTGACTTTTTTCAAAGGGTTGTAACTTTTCTAAAGAGTTGTGACTTTTTAAATATGTTGTGACTTTTTCAAAGGGTTCTGACTTCTCGAAAAGGTCATGACTTTTCAGATAAGACACAAAAAACACTTGTTCATACTACTCTTTGTTGACTATAAATAGAGGGGTTTCCTCTCATTTTTCAACCACATTTTTTTTTAATTTCCTACTCTTTTTCATGCATTTTAAAAAATTTCGTGTGATTTATTGTCGTTAAGTGAGTTTGAAGTTTAGTGAAATATGAGGTACCACTATTCTGATGAAGTTAATCGTTCTATCCTAAGAGGGTACATTCCATAACCTCGAGTACTTGAGGAAAATAATTTTCATGATATAATAATTATTTTTTTGCTTAATATATACATTAGTATGTAATGTTCCAATATATATGAAGTTAACATGATGTAGTCTAAATTCATTTGTTTTTGTTAACAATTTTTCTTGTGATGTAAATCTATCCTTCTGAACATCTTTTTCCAAAATTATTAAACTTCTCAAGAGTGAAAATATGTGAATATATATGAATCATTTAAAAGAAATTCAAAGATGTGGTGACACACCTTGGTAAGTTATTCTAACAAATATTTTATTTAATTAAAATCAAGATGTGAGACTACAATATTAGGTAATGCACTCAATAGAATAAAACAGTTATGCTTCGAAACTATTAAATATCAAAACCAAGAATGCGGTTACGCATCTAGATTGAGACCAAATAAAGGTTCAACAATAAAAATGTGAACAAGTCATGGCCTGAAAATAATATATCCAAAAATATTTTAAAGTAAGTATAAGTTAATAAAAGCGACCGTGCTAGAACTACGGGACTCGAGGGATGCCTAATACCTTCCCCTCGGTCAATATAATTCCTTACATGAATTTCTAATTCGCAGATCAAATAAAGAGTCATTTTCTTTTGATGAGGGATTAAACAAAAAAGGTGACTTGGAACACCATAACTCAATTCCAAGTGGCGACTATAAAAAAATAAATAATCCTTAAATCAATAACGTCACTTAAATTGGAAAAACCCTTCCACCGTGCGAAAAAGGGGTGTGACATCTGACATAGCTTCTGATGGATTTATTCTTCTTTTATAAGACTTGTCTTGATTATAAGGCTACTAAAGTAATTATTTGGGGCTTTAAAATTTTAAAGTCTCTTAATTTTATATATATCATATCATATCATGTATTGATAAATTTGAAAAAAAATTTGAATAAAAAATATAATAGTAATAGTTTACTTTATTTAATGTGGAGGTCGTGGTAATATTTAAGAGATGAAATAGTGTTTAGTTAATTGTAACATTCTTTCTTTCGTGGATACTTATTTTATTGACATATTTATATTTTGGCGAAAATCATGAACCCATATCTTTTCTATTTTTATTCTTTCAATATTCTACCTATATCGAACGGTAAAACCCCTTGCATGACACAAAACT